GCATGCAGAGGCTGTCTCTGTTTATGATACGGGGTTGTTAGGCGCTTCAGGTACTGTCATTCTTATTTAAGGATATACTTAAGGATTAGCGGTAAGAAGTCCGGCATTAGCAGTGGCGAAATGAATGTTAGCGAGCTTAGGCTCGGAGGGCTTATTTTTGATGATCGCCGCGCGAGCTTCTTTAGGAGAGATGAGCTCTAAGATGGGGGGAGAGATCCTTGTATTTCTGCAGGAAAAGAAAACCTTTCGCGAGTTGAAATGGAGATTAGAACTCGGCCACGGTGACGACAAGCGCCGTAACTCCTCAAATCTCGCTGGCTGCTGAGGGTTTTTTGCTGAAAAAACAATTTCCCTACGAGCAGCTCCCCTTGGCATGCAAGACCCGGGCCGTGGGCAGAAATCGGAAGGCTTTGGGACCTATCCCGAGGTTTCCTCTGGAACTTCAGCGAGTTTTGGGGATGAACATCGCCCTGCGGATGGGAAGGGCCCTTTGTCGCTCCGCCGCGCCGCTCTCCATTACTTATGCGCTTCCTGGAGCTGAAACAATTGCTATTATCCCACATAATATTGCATGACCTACATTTTTACTTGAAAGCCTCCAGCTAATAATTAGTTTGAATTTCGATTTATAAATAAACACATTCATATTCTGGTTTTAAAAAAAAAGAAAAACGTGCACAAGGTGTTGGAGGAGGAGGCAGGGGAAGCCAAGGAGTCTCTCGGGCTATCAAATCCCCACCTCGCGCTGGCAAACCTTGCTTTTTTGGGGAAAAAAAACGGGGTTTTGCCTGTTCTATAGGCTCGTTGGCAAGCGAGCCTATATGAGCGCGTGTGCGTGAGCTGGGCCCTTCTCCAGGGTTTCGACCTTGTGTGGTGGAGCCTCAGGTGCTGTTTTTATCCAGAAAAAACCACCTAATCCTTCCCTGGACCTTGGGTAATTTCATGCGGCAACGAGATGTCTAAAAATCCTCCCCTTTCTGAGGCTCCGTAAGTTTTTCTGGTGCTTTGCGTGACTTTGAGAAGGCCAAAAACGGGAACGGCCTTAGCAGGATGCGTGAAACCCCGGGCGTGTTTTTGGGAGGCTTTTTGCAGTGCGGTTAAGAGGAGGAATAGCCGAGTACTCGGATTTATCACGGCGGCCTCGTGCGCGCTCCATAGAAACCCTTGGATCGGGGACCGCTCGCTCTCCACGCGCCGCTTCCCAACGCGGAGTTGGGCTCTCCGGGAGCGCGGCGATGAGCTGGGTTATTATCATTGAGAAGAGAGGGCGGCTGTGGGGGGAACCTCCGCGATTTGTCTTTTTTTCCTTTATTTTTTTTCACGGAATTTCCCGCCAGGATGACATTTTCAACAACAAATAATCACTTTAGGAATAACTCATTTCGAGACCCAGGCACCGCGAGGCGCTTGCAAATGAGAAAATCATACAGTGCCGTCCTGATAACATCCAGATATTCCGCTCCCGTTTCCAGGGCTGTTTCCTTCCCTGTCTCCGCTGACAGGTCCGGCGTGGCCGTGTCTTGGGCCTCTCTTTTAAGGTACTTGAATCTGTTTGATCATCTGCAAATTTCTCTTTCCGTTCCTCTGATAGAAAATTAAATCTTGGACACTTCTTGAAGGCTTTTTTTTTTTTTTATCCTTCCCATGCTCCATGGGGAGTCAGAAAAGCTTTTCCTAGAAAAACAAAATAAATAAAAATTAGAGTTCAAAGGGTGACATCTCCTAAGAGGATGAAGGGGGTGAGCAGAAGAAGAAAAAAAAAACCCATATATTCTTACAGATGCGACATCAAAACGGGGAACTATAAAGGATGCGTTTTCAAAGACTCATACCCGGACCGAGCTGGTTCTGTGGGAAATGGGCAAGCGGAGTCGCTCCTGTCGCTTTGCTTCTGCAGGGATGCAGTTGCTATTTTTTAAATTTTGTTTTATTAATTGCGAGGAAGAGAGCTCGCCATTAGCTTGGTGAGCGATCCACCCCTTTCCCCGGGATCTGGGCACTGGAAACCCTTGGCTTCCAAGCCCCGTATCCCAAATCCCGTTGTCCATAATATCTGTGATGGGCGGCCGAGTTTTGGAGGGCAGCATGAGGAGGAAGCTCCCGTGTCGTCCTCGTTCGGGGCTGAATCACAAACGTTGTTCGGCCTCTCGAGTGGGTCTCACGAGTGGCACCAGCTGCTGGAAGCGCTCAGGGAGGAGCGCCATAAATACCCGGGGGAAAAAAAGGAAGGAAATGTGAAGTGGCCCTTTAAAAAGGAGCCTCCCGAGCCCGGAGCCCGAGTCGCGTTCCCTCAAGTATTCAAATGAGATTGCAGCATCAGATTGGTATGCATTAGGCTGGTCTCAATGAAAATTAACATGTAATTGCTTCAAATGAAGTAAGTGAGGAGGTAATCTGTTCTTAAATTGGATTCGCAGGATTTTGTGGTACCATCATGCAGCTGTGAAATGAAATATATTTTAAGGATGATGTCCTCAAGGGGAGAGGGGAGGCGAGCACGCCGGGACGTGCGCGGTGGGTGCATCCTCCACGCTCCCGATCCGCAGCATCCCGGGCCGCCGGGAAGCATCTCCGGCGGCCTTTGATACCCAACACTCGGTCCCGTGCTCTCCCCGGGCCTCTTTCCCGACGTCACTTCCATCCGTGCCCTTCATCCTTTCGTTTGCAGCGCTCCTTGTGGCCGCTCGCTTCCCCCTCGCCGTTCCCATTGGAAGGAGCAGCTCCAAGGGTTGCTCCCTTGCAGTCGTCGACTGTAGATAGAGGAGAATATCAGCAGGAGCTGCATGTCCACGGCTCCCTGGATGCTCCCGCTTTTCCATGTTTCCTTGCCGGTACGCCGGCCTAAGGCAGCATCCCGGGAGTCGTTTGCAGCTCGGCGTATCCCGGGCAATGAACCAAGGTGGATCTTTCCGAGCCCGGCGTGTTGTTATTAATGCAATTAGCGCGAATCATTTGCATGTATAAACTTTCCGTCGAGGCAATCAGGTGCTTTGCAAACACGCGTTAACTCGCCCTCCCTGCAAAGGAGGTGAGCCTGGAAAAGCTTTTCCAAGGGCAGGGAGAGGAAGGGCCCTGCCACCGGGCAAGAGGCTGTTTTCCTGAAACCCGGAGGTAGCTCTAATATTTGTTCCGACCCTCCCCGCTGCCTTTCTGGTAAATACATGAGCCGGAACGTTTGCAGCTTCCGACTCCTAGGGCTCCGTTGGGGGAAATTATAACGAGGCGAGGAGTCTCCGCAGCCTCGTTAAGGAGAGACCCCGTGGCATCCTAAGCGCCCCGGAGCTCGGTGCTCTCGGGTCCCCGCTTTGCTCGGGGATTTATGATCGTCCTCGGTTTGCGCCGGAGCACCGATATCGTCGGAGCGGGACGCGGTGCCTGAGACGGGATTGAGTTGTTTGCAGCCCGGCCTTTAATTAATCCTAATAAATAACAATAAAACGCGATAATCACAGGGATAAATCCAGGCGGCGAAGCTCCCGCCGCCGGCGGGCTGCTTGGCTCGATCGTTCGTAGCGCGCGGCGGCTGGTGCGAGGACGCGGCAACGCCAACGAGCGCCGGGCGCCAATTAGCGCACTTCAGTAATTAAAAACCTCCCCCCGCAGCGCGAGGCCACCTCCTCTCCCGTCTTCGTGCCATCCGGGAGGGCCGGGGCGCATCCATCCCGACGGGAGCTGCTCCGGATGGCTCGGCTCCGGGGAGGAAGGCGAGAGGCTGCCTTCAAGCCAGGCCGGAGAGCGCGCGCGGGCGATAAGGGGAGATCGGGAGCAGGCGCTGTGAAGGGCGAAAGCGCCTATTTCCCTGCCGCCTCATGCGTTACCCGAGCCCCGTCACTTTTCAAAAGCGCTTAAATGCCAATGTGATAGCGGGAAGGCCTGGATTACACACTCCCTGGCTCCATTATTATCCAGGGATCTCCAGGTTGATGCGTTTCAGCCCCAAAAAATCGCGCGGAGGAGAGAGGAAATATATATTCTTAGTGCAGCCTGCTTGTCGGCCCTCAGCGGTAATCTCTGCAGAAGGGGTTGGTGCGAAGAATTCGAGCCACGTCTGGGTTTTCATTACCCTGGGCTCTTCTCTGCGAGGTGGCTTTAGCGCTGGGGGTGGACGGTGTCTTTTTTTTTGCATTGCTGCTGAACGTTGCATTTGCGGGAGCCTTTCTGGTTGAACGGAGCAAAGTCGGGGGCCAAATATCCCCCCGCGTTTTCTTTGCAAGCCCAAGGTCTCGGTGACCGCCGTAGCAAAAAGCGGCAGAGCACAGATAGGATGAAACCATCTTTGGGGATGGGATCTCGAGTTCTGTTCTTGGGGCCTGCTCAAGTCGTAACGCGACCACGCCAGCAAGGACAGAGATCTTGGTGTTCAGCCCAGGGTAAATCTATTGCTTTTTTATGTAGCTCGTAAAAATCTGCTCACATGGAATTTATTATTATCGTAATATCATTAGAGAACAGCAATAAAATTGCTTAATTTATCTGATGTTTTTCACGTCGGAGAGCGAGGATGGACCGACATTTGGGGTTCTAGCTTCAAAAATCCATCTCTCCTTGGCAAAGCATTGCCACGGGCATTCCCGCTCCCTGGCTCTAGGTGTTTTGCATGGAGCTGGTTGTGGAAAAGGAGGATTGGAGCGTTGGGGATATGGGACTATAGGGCAGGCTCGTGCAGTAGCTTCGCCTTGAATTGTTCCGGGCTTGTTGTCCTTATCCTCCTAGGTGGAGGTCTCATTAGTTCAGCTGGAATCAGGGGGCTCTCTGGTCTCTGCGAGTCTGAAGGAATCGCAAAGTTCTTTGGAAAATCTCCCGGGCCCCCAGTTTGGATGGATTTTGGCACTCGCGCGTGGCCGATTCAATGCGGGTGCCGTCCTCTCTGGAGAATGGCCGTGCTTGGTCTATGCAACTGCTGCTTGCACCGCGACTCGAAATCATGAGAGTTACGAGAGGGGCTGGGGACGGGAGCACGGGCAGCATCGGGCTAACGCGCGGCCTCCGTCTCCCCCCAGGTGCTCCGTGGATAACCGGGTGACCCGAGTGGCCTGGCTCAACCGCAGCAGCATCCTCTACGCTGGCAACGACAAGTGGTGCTTGGACCCGCGCGTGGTGCTCCTGGCCAACACCAAAACGCAGTACAGCATCCAGATCCAGGACGTGGACGTGTACGACGAGGGGCCCTACACGTGCTCCGTGCAGACAGACAATCACCCCAAGACCTCGCGCGTCCACCTCATCGTGCAAGGTAAGAGCGAGGCCTGCAGGCCGCGAAGCCGGCTCGGTAGCGCGGTTCTTGCGCGGCTTTTTTGCCCCGTTTTACCCGTGATCCTGTCGCTCCATCCACCCCTGAAGTCCCGTTCACCCTTTCCCAGGCGCTCTGACCCTTCTCTCCATCCCTTTGCCCTGGAAGGCCCAGTGCAGTCGTGGGCTGTTTTGGAGAGACCCGGTGGAGCTGGATGATGTCCAGGCGGTTGCATTTACTTGACTTTCCTAGAGCAGGCGCCGATAGCACAAGAGCTGTTTCCCCAAGTAATCGGTTGTACCCACGTCGCTGGCGTTTCCTTGCTATATTTCCATGTTTTTTGCTTCGCCGGAGGCAACGCTCGCAGTAAAGTTTGTGCTGGGGGAAAAGATGCTGCGAGGGGGACATATGGGGACCGGCACGGTCCTGGTGCAGGCAGCCTGGGGGAGGATTAATGGAAAATTTCTAATCCCTTGCTAGCAGCTTCTTTTATTTCTTCCTCCTGCCGCGATGCGGCCAGCAGCCTCTTAGCGCGACACACCATCCCGAGTATCAGAATTTCATCTCGGGCTAATTTTCGAATGCTGATGGGCGTATCGATTGGGAAACAAGCTGGGTTAAAAAGGCATCGCTCTTGTACACAGAGCCGCCCCTAGCTAATCCGCCGTCGATACGCCGGGCCCGCGCGTTATTGACAGCCTAATGAATAGCAGAGGGGAGGAACGGGGCTTTTTCCTTCCCCTCCCGGCCCTTCTCTTCCTTTTTCCTCTTGGAGCAATCGAGCGAGCTCCGGAGAGCCGGACTCGCTCCGTCTCCGTTAAGCAGGGAGCTGGAGCGGACGCGGTGCCATCCCGGGCCCTCGCCGCTTATCTCACGCTCTCTTATTGCCTGCCCGAGTTTCTAAAGCTACAAGTCGATCGGCCGTGGGCTTGGAAGTTGCTATCAGGCAAAGCGGGATGATTTATCGCGGCTCCGGATGGATTTCTTGGGATAAGCAGCTCGCTCGAGGCTATGTGGGTTGGGGATGCTCCCCCGAGGGAGAAAATCACTTAAAAATAACGAGAATCGGGGCCTATTTCTATCTAGATTGATTGCCTTGGTGGCCGAGATCCCAAAATAGGTGGGCGGGAGGCACCTTTGGAGCTAATTTCGCCCCTGTCCCTGCAACGAGGCAGAGTCGGCGCCGGCAAACACGTGCGAAAACCTCTGACGAGGCAGATTCTTCGGTCTCCCTAGGCCAGCTCTTCTCCCGTTATAATTAGAAAATGTATAGCTAATATCCAACTTAATCCTGCTCGGCTGCAAACGCGGTGGAGTTTTTCCTAGGCTGGCCCCAGTGGCGGGAGGGGACCATTGATCAATGTCCCCTTAGTGGCAACCTCTGCCTGCCCGCAAGGTTGCTGACTCGGGGGACACGATGCTTTCGGCTCCCGTTTTCGCCCCCTTGTTTCGTTACGGTCCTACCTCTTTCACCCCCTGCATCTCCCCATTCCCTGCAGGATATTTGGGCTGTCGGAGACGCGGAGCGCGGCCGTTCCCCGTGTTTCGGGGCTCGGGGAGGGAGGCGGCGGCGTCCAGGAGGCCGGTGGCTGCGAAACCCTATTTGTCTTGATAAGGAGCCGTCCCCAGCGCGGCGGCAAAGCGCTGCCCCTGCCTCGTAAGATGCATTAAGAGACGTTGCCCTTATCTCGGTGCTGGGAATGGACGCGGCGAGGGAGGCTCGGTGCCTGCCGGAGTTTAATCTCACTTAGACAGGCGCATTTGCATGATAGGAAATGGTGGAACTTGAGCGCCTAGGAAGAAAAGAAGAAAAAGGCAGGAAAAAAAAGAAAAAGGCGGCGGGGGGATATTAGCGCTTGGCTGTTTCTTTATCGGCGTCCGTGGCCCCGTCTGGCTCTCGTCGCTGTCACCGCAGCGACTCGTCACCTCCCTCCTTTTGCTTGGCGTAAATGAGTTTTCCCTCTGCCGCGCC